CCCCCCGAATTTTTTTTTTGAAATAATATTGAATAGTTTTAAATGCCTATTATATTTGATGCGTGTCACTGTGATTACAACACATAAAAAAATAAAACGGTTTAATGGTATATTTTATATTTATATTGTGTTAGATAAGGGATGACTAATCTTAATGTACTTTTGTAAGACCTAATGTATAGCTCACATAATACCTACAGTATCTAATCTTAATTAAGATTAAACCCCCCCGAAATATTTTTCTGGCTACGGCCTTGTTTGCAGACCTAGAAATAAAACCATTTACCTATTAAAAAAAATAAAAAACACATCATTATTATATAAAGACATATTCGTCACTCCACTTAGAATCTAAAACTACTTAGATAAGCTAAAAATAAAAATAAAGAAGTAAAAGGTGTTAAATATCAAAATAATCAAAAATAATGCGAAATAAAAATTTCAAGTATTTTATCTTATACTAGCTATAGTACCTAAAAATACTAAATACAGTTACCCAGTTACAGTCTAGAACTTAGAAGTATAATACGAACTCACTTGATTTTATTATTAAGCTTAAAACGATTGTACGTCAGGTGTTATACAATACCTGCCAAGAAAAATAAATTTGAAAAAACAATAAATGCAAATTGCGATTATGTTTAATTGTTTACAATATAAACGTTTTCGACATATTTTCTAAAAATCACTTCGAGGTCATCAAAATATACCGGCCGAGAACTAACAATATTAGGATTTTTATCCTTTAGCTGTAGTGGAATAGTGCGTGGTTCAATTAATTATTTTTTTAGTTTAGCTGCAACTGTTTGTAAATATAATAATTAAATTGCAAAATTATTCACGAATTTTTTTTTATGCGGTGTCATTAACTGACATTTAAAATTTTTACAGTGTTGTTTTACTTGAGGTTATAATTTACAGAATACTTAAGTACCTAAATTATATTGCTACTGTTGGCTTCCATATTACATACACCATAGGTATAAATATGCTATATGTACATAAAATATATGGTTGTAATATGATATATATTTTATTATTAAGTATTTAATACTAACAATTTATTTGTTTTGTCAATAATATATTGAAAACATTTATCATTATAAACAAATATTAAAAAACACCATCCTTGAAATATTCTAAAAAATACTACAGTCGAGGAGGGTGCAATAATATTTAAAACTGCATAGTTTGCCTCAGGTTTGCAGACTAGATATGTTTTGCACACCACACTGCATATTAATATAATATTATGTATATATTTTTT